TAAAAAATCAGGATCATGTCATATGATGTATATAGACAAGGTACTTTTTCCACTTATTTCTATAATTTCAAATTTTCAATAATAAAAAAAATAATATTTTCCTATTAAAATAAATATGATACACAACTGTCAAATTATATACTAGAAAACCCACTGCCATCGAGTCAGATCCATCTCATAACGACCCCTCCTTGGGTTTCCGAGGCAGTATCACTACGGAAGTAGATTGCCCAACCTTCCTTCCTTAGAGTGGCTGGTGAGTTTGGATCACCAGCCTTCTGATTAGCAGTCAAATGCTTTAGGCTCTACATTATCAGAGCTCCTATATACTAGAATAGTAAGATACATACTGTATATATACTGTAATTAATCATAATTTTGATGTGATTGTTACGTGCCACAGAGTCGGTTCCAACTCATAGCGACCCTATGTACAAAAGAACAAAATACAGCCTGATGCTACACCATCCTCACAATTGTTGCCATAATTGAGCCTATCATCACAGACACTATGCCAATCCATCTCCTTGAGGGCCTTCCCCTTTTTCACTGACCCTCCACTTTACCAAGCATGATATCCTTTTTCCAGGGACTGGTCCCTTTGGACAACATGACCAAAGTAGGAGAGATGAACTCTGGCCATTCACACTTCTAAGGAATATTCTGACTGTACTTCTTCCAAGGAAGACTTGTTCATTCCTCTAGCAGTCCATGGTACATTGAATATTTTTCTCCAATACCAATTCAAATGCTTCAATTTTTCAGTCATCCTTTATCCATTGCCAGACTTTCACATGTATATGAAGCTATTGAAAATACCATGGCTTGGGTCAAGGAGCTCTGGTGGCAAAATGCCTAAGGCATTTGACTGCTAACCAGAAGGTTGGTGGTTCAAATTCACCAGTCATTCCTTGGAAGGAAGATTGGGCGATCTACTTCTGTAGTGATACCATTTCAGAAACTCAAGAAGGGGTTGTTATGAGTCGGATCTGATTCGAAGGCAGTGAGTTTTTTTTTTTTTTTTTTGGTTCAGGCACACTTTAGTCTTTGCTCTAAACACTTTGAAGAAGTCTTTTGTAGCAGAGGAGCTCTCGTGGCCTAGTGCCTAAGGCATTAGACTGCTAACCAGAAGGCTGGTGGTTCAAACTCACCAGCCACTCCTCGGAAGGAAAGCTGGGCAATCAACTTCCGCAATGATACCGCCTTGGAAACCCAAGGAGTCGTCATTATGAATCAGAGCCGACTTGATGACAGTGTGTGTGTGTTTGCAGTAGATTTGCCTAATGCAACATGACATCTGATTTCTTGACTGTTGCTTCCATGGTGTTGACTATGGAGCCAAGTAAATGAAAGCAGTGACAAATTCAATCTTTTCTCCATTTATCATGATGTTGCTTATTGGTCTACTTGTGAGGATTTCTGTTTTCTTTCAGGTGAGGTGCAGTTCATCAGTGTTTCAGGTCTTCTTCACATTCAGCAAGCAAGGCTTTATCATCTGCATACCAAAAGTTGTTAATGAGTTTTCCTCCAATCTTGGCATCACATTTATATAGTTCAGCTTCTCAGATTATTTCTTAAGCATACAGAATAAGTAAGTATGGTGAAAGGATACAACAATGATGCACACCTTTCCTGATTTTAAATCACGCAGTATCCCCTTGTTCTGTTAGAATGACTGCCTCTTAAGTCTACGTACAAGTTCCTCATGAGCACAATTAAGTGTTCTGGAATTTCCACTCTTTGCAGTGTTATCCATAATTTGTTTTGTTATGATCCACACAGTTCAATGCCTTTGTGTAGCCAATAAAGCATAGGTAATCATCTTTCTGGCACTCTTTGCTCTCAGCCAAGAACCATCTGACATCAGCAATGATATCCCTCATCCCATGCCTTCTTAATCCAGCTTTAATTTCTGGCAGTTCCTTGTCTATGTACTGCTGCAACCATTTTTGAATTGTCATCAGCAAAATTTACTTGTGTGTGATATTAATGATATTGTTCAATAGTTTCCACACTCTGTTCGATCACCTTTCTTGGGAATGGGCACAAATATGTATCTCTTCCAGAAGGCTAGCCAAGTAATTGTCTTACAAATTTTGGGGCATAAATGAGTGAGCACCTCCGGCACAGCATCCATTTGCTGAACCATCTCAATTGGTGTTCCATCAACTCCCAGAGGCTTGTTTTACAACAGAAGTGCAGCTTGGTCTTCTTCCTTCAGTGCCAGTGGTTCTTGATCATATGCTACCTCCTGAAATGGCTGAATGTCAACCAATTCTTTTTGGTACAGTGACTCTGTATTCCTTCCATCTTCTTTTGATGGTTCCTGTATTGCTCAATATTTTGCACATAGAATCCTTTGATAATTGCAACTCAGAGCTTGAATTTTTCCTTCAGTTCTTTCAGCCTGAAAAATGCTAAGTGTGTTTCCTAACTCCAGCTTTTTGCACATTGCATAATTTTGATAAATGCATTATACAGGAACTAGATCCCAGTCTACAAAAGATCCAAAGTCAGTATCTTGAATCATACTAAGAAGCTTGGTTTAGTAGATGTTCAAGAGGGTTTTACTGATTTATTCTATAATTGTCTGCTCATTTTCTTTCTAGCTACACTTTTTTTTTTTTTTAATTGTGATTTGGGTGAAGATTTACAGAGCAAATTCACTCTCAAAACAGCAGTTCACATATACTTTGTCTCATGTCATTGACCACAGTTTACCACAATGCAACAGCTCCCCTCTAATTTCCTCCCCAAGGTACCACTTGCCAGTGTCCATCCCTCCATACTCTCCTGCCCCCTAAGCTGTCTCCCTGTGCATAAGCTGCCCTTCCTTCTTCCATGATTGTTCTCTCGAGGGTGTGTGTCTACTTGAGGTAAATGTTCAACTCACATGCCTGTACTTTGGCTGGAAACCACAGGTGTGGGTTCAATTCCAGACCTGAAGGGTAGCTAGGGGCCATAGTCTCAGTGGTTCCACCAGGCTCTATTGGACCAGCAAACCTGGTCCCAACCATCCCCTTTTTTTTTCCCCTCCAAATGATTTTGAGTTTTGTTCCACATTGTTCTCCCTCTCTATCCAGGATCTCCTACATCCCTTCCAAGTGGATGACAGTGGTAGCCGGGCACCATCTAGTTCTTCTGGTCTCATACTTGTATAGGTTGCAGATCGGATGGTGCACCAGTCGTGGGGACTGATTGTTTCCATTAATTTTGGTTTTCTGCTTTCTTCTCTGCTCTTGATGAGGAGAGACCCATCGTTACATCTAGATGGCAGCTTGCTAGCTTTTAAGATCCCAGTCGCTACTCACGAAAGTAGGAGGTGGAACAATGTTTTGTAGAGTATGTTATGCCAATTGAGTTTGATGTCCCCTGTGACCATGGTCCCAGGCCCTCAGGATCAACTACTCAGTCGCTGTGGGTAGCTGGCTGTGACCAAGCAGTGACCATAAGCTAGCCCCTTGTCAGTTGTACTATACTCCTGGGGATTCTGATCCTTCACATAAACTTATAGGACCATTGTCTGCCAACCCTCTATATGATCCTGGATACACTCCCTCCTTCATAGACATAGCTAATCATTTAGCCTGTCCACCTATCTATCCATCCATATACCCATGTTTACCTTCACTGAGAACTCAGTACTGTATATGCAAAAAGGTTCATATTTGTTGTCTGTACCTCCCATGTACCTCTCTATGTCTTTCTCATTCTCATTGCTGTCATATTGGTCATTCACATTTGGTACGTTCTAGCAACACTTTTAATAACAAAAGTTCTAGAATAATGAGAAGATTATTTTGAGTTCTGTCTTTGACAAATGAGAAAAATCACAGTATGATGCAGATAGGAGTTGTCTGTGCTAAACGTTCCTTATAGAAAAGTCTGGCTATTAATTACCTATTAACAAGTACTCTGTAAGCACAGGTAGAATACAGCTTTTATTAGTAAAATTTTAAAACAAAGACTTTAAGAGAAAAATAGGGAAAGAAACAGAAAGAGGTAGAGAAGAAGAAAATAGGAGAAAGAAAGAGGGAAAGGAAAGGAAGTCAGGAAAGAGAAGAAACAACAGAAAAGGATGGCAGGGAGAAATAAATGGGATAAAAAATAAAAAAATTAACAAAAGGACAACAGAAAAGATATTGGAAAAAAATATGATTAAAATGTTAAAGTGAATAAAAGCCAAAAGAAATAAAAGTTCTAAAATGAAAATTACGTAAAAGAACACAGCCTAAAATTCTGTAGCTCTCTCAACATCGGGACACTGTGACTAAATGAAGCAGTCCCAAACGTAAGGATGAGGAGACGGAAAAAGGATCTATGGCCCCCAGGTGGAATGATTATCTCCTGTATAGTTTCTAAAAAATTGGATTTATTAAAAATGGGCAAAACTCTTACAGACTCACTAAGAAAAAATACCTTTTCTAAGTAGTACAAAAATTAATCCTAAAGGAAATACAGGAGCTCTGGTAGCATAGTGGCTAAGACACTTGCCTGCTATCCAGATGGCTGGCGGTTCAAACCCACCAGCCACTCCTCGGAAGGAAGGTTGGGCAATCCTACTTCCATAGTGATACTGCCTCGGAAACCCAAGGAGGGGTCGCTATGAGTCGGGGCCAACTCGACGGCACATAACAACAACAACAACAACAACAAAGGAAATACAACATGAAAGGTAGATTTCTGAAAAAAAAAGGCCCATTAAACACAAGCTCAAAGATGTAACTGAAGGATTGATTAAATGATAGTGAGTATTGGTACCTGGTACATTATTGCGTAACAATTTTTCACATATTTTACTTCCCCAGGGCGCCTTGGCTGTAAAACACTGACATGTTCACTGCTTAATCTAACCTCACCAAGCCAAAGTAGTCCTAAATCCTACCTTTACCCTAAACTAACAATAAATTTAGAAAGAGTAACTGAGAAATCAAGTGAATAGCTGTATGGTTTTTGTTCTAAATTTGTAATCAGTTGGAAAAGAAAAGTATTACACTTACTCATACCACTGTTTATTGTGTTTTCGGTAAAGCAACGTATCCAAGGCAACAGCATTGACATCCAGAGCTCCTGGGGAAGGCCACTGGTTGGTGAGGTGGGCAGTTAACTCTTGTCTTGATCTTAAATCATTATTCTTTAGCACAGTCCTGTGAATATTAAGATGGTGAGTCCTTTTGTCTTTACTGTTCTGCAATGGCAGAAGAACCTAAGGGTATTAATTTAGGTCCCCAAAATTCATCTTTGTATAACTATAGGTTAACAGATTGTGTACAGAACTACAGCAAGGCTGACTGGGAATATGACTGCTTTGTCTCCTACAAGAAACCCAAAACCCACTGCCACTGAGACAATTTCGATTCATAGCAATCCTATAGGACAGAGTAGAACTGCCCCCATAGTATTTCCAAGGCTGTAAATCTTTAAGGAAGAAGACTGCCTCATCTTTTTCCATGGAGAAGCTATGAATTCTAACCACTAACCTTTTGGTTAGCAGTCTCCTACAATAGGTACTTTTAATTTATTCCCTGCTGGCTACAACAAATCACTAATGGTGAAATTTAGACTTCTTAATATTTTCCAGATACATTCCTAAAGGATATCACTGTTTGGGGGGGAAAAAAAATGAAAGAAACTCATGCTGCTTTTTACATCTTAACTAAAAAACAATCATGGTATGTTAAAGGTATAGTTTATCAGATGTCAGTTAAAATGTGAAAGTAAAAATGCCACCTGTATGATATCCAACTTCAAAATTCAGAAACAATCTATAAAAATAATTTAATTCAGTAAACAAAAAACTAATCAGATTAATTTTAAAAACTGAATAGAGGAAAATTGTAAATAAAAAAATCCATGAGATTCCTATAACTGCTTTTGATAGAAGTAAGTACTAATAAATTTTCATGAAAATGAGTCAATGAGTGATAAATGCATGGAATAATATAATCCACTCAAATATTTCAACTGCAGAATGATGAAGCCATTACAACAAGTCATGGTATTCCTTCATTTTTGTAGAACTGTTACTTTTAATAACAACTTGCAAAAGAATTAGTTTTTTGGAAAAATGTCATTGTGATTGATCATTGTCACACAAGACTAATCCAACACTTGAATGGGTAAATAAAGATAATTTAAATGTATAATTCTCTTTACAAAAGTCTTACTCTAAAATGAGACCTAAAATACCACTGAGGCAATCTACATCCTCAAACAGGAGTCAATGACTCTCATACATCAAGGTTCTGAGCCATCAACTCAGAAGAAGAGAACTAATATATACCTGCAAAGAGTCCATGAGGTGCTGCTAGCACAATCCTGTGGTAGAGAAAACCAGTCTGCATGCTACCTCCTACCCATGACTCTAATGGAATAACCATATTTATAAATCTCTAACAGGATATCATGCTTAGTAGAGGGTCAGCAAAAAAGGGGAAGATCCTCAACAAAGTGGACTGAAATAGTGGCTGCAATGATGGGTTTGAGAACAGCTCAAGACTGTGAGGATGAGGTTGGACTGGCCAGGTTTCATTCTGTTGTACACAGGGCCACTAAGCTGGTGCTTACTCAATGGCACCTAACAACAACAGCAGGATATATAAAGATATTTCTGATTTTATAGGTTATCTGTGCATTTTTAACATTTCTTTCACAACCTTCACAAAGAAACATTATGCGATGTGAACACTAGATTTTGTCACTTATCTCAGAATCGGATACTAAGAGTGAAATGGTCAGAAGTCAATGACGATGTATCTGCTTAAGATACTCTTTTAGGTTACCTGGAACATTTCACTTCACTAGAAAAGGAATGAAATTTTTTGAAAACAGCTTTTAGCACACTAGTTAAGAATTTGGCTGCTAACCAAAAGGTCAATAGTTCAAATCCACCAGCTGGTCTTTGGGAGAAAGATGGAGCAGAGTCCACTTCCATAAAGATTACAGTTTTGGAATGACTCAATGGCAAAGGGTTTAACTTATTTACTTTTTATGTAAAGTAAACCTTTACAGAGAGTATGATTGGAAAAAAATTAATATTGACAGAAAAATCACATAAAGCAGAAATGGGATTATTGGCCAAAGAGTCAATTAGAATTAATTGCCATTATTTTGGATTCTCTTACTAGGTTTTTCTCTTTCACATATTCTCTCTCTACTCAACGTCACTGGACTATTTAAGTCCAATGTCATCACTAGCTCACAGGAACTACTGAGAACAGAATGAGAGAAAGACAAATGTGCATCCATCAGGAAGTGATACTGGTAGAACTCAGGAAGTAACTGAACAATCTCTAATTTAGAATGTGTATATTTTATGGAAAGTGAAAAAGGTTTACACCTCATAAAACAGAAAGAGGAACTGAAGTTTTCAAAAGTAAATATTTACACATTTGTCCATGGAGAATTTCTGACTAATGACAAAATAAGGTAATGTCTTCAGAACTCTGTGCTTAGACATGCTAATGATACTGTTTTCTACAGGCATCTGCCTGTCCTCTGAAACTGGAGATAAGACATTTCAGTGTCACTTTTCTGGCTTGAATATGTATACTTTTTTTGACAGAGAATTTATTTTCTTTCTTTTTTGAGCAATGTGAAGACAGTAAATCTGGGCACTTGCCCTGTCTATCACTATTGAAGAGGAAGGTTCTTGGAGGGTCCTTGTGTATGGCCCCTTCTTTCACCACTCTGGTACAATCTGGGACAAGCAAATGAATTTAGGCTGAACATCCCACCCCTGCATTTTGAATCCTGACTACAGTAATAAGTAAACAAAGGTAGGTGTTAAATGGTATTTCACTGTGATTTTAGTTTGCATTTTCTTACTAAGTACTTTGGGCATCTTTTCATGTGCTTGCATGTGCTTTTCATCTGTCTGTCTTTTTCAGAAAAGTGTCTAATGAAGTCCTTTGCCCATTTTTAAAATTAGGCCATTTGTCCTTTTGGTGTCAAGTTCTAAGATTTTTTTTTAAAATTGTGATTTGGATGAAAGTTTACCCAGCAAATTCCATGCAACAGCTCAAATACACTTTATCTCATGGCCGACTGCAGTTTCCCACAATGCTATAGCTCCTCTCCCATTTCCTTCCGATAGTTACCTCTTCCCTGTGTCCTTCCCTTCCATGTACTCCTGTCCCCTGAGCTGTCTCCCTGTGCATACACAGCCCTTTTATCTGCCTATGATTTTCTCTCTAAGGAGTGTATCTGTCTAATGTAAATGTTCAGCTGATATGCCTTTTGTTTGGCTGGAAGCCACAGGAGTGGGTTCAATTCCAGACCAGAAGGGCAGCTAGGGGCCATAATCTCAGTGGTTTCATCAGGCTCTATCAGACCAGCAAGTCTGGTCCCTTCTTTCTTTTTGTTTTTTAATTAATGATTTTGAGGTTTTTTTCCCACAACATTCTCCCATTCTATGTAAGATCTCCTACACAGATCCCCCTCCCAATGGTTGACAGTGGTAGCCAGGCACCATCAAATTCTTCTGATCTCATAGTCATATAGACTGAGGATCATATGGTGTACTAGTTGCTTGGACTAATTGTTTCTATGCATCTTTGGTATTCTTCATTCTTCTTTGCTCTGGATGAAGAGAGACCCATCATTGCTTTTAGATGCCCGCTTGCAAGCTTTTAAGATCCAGTCGCTACTCACCAAAGTAGGAAGTGGAACAATGTTTTCGTGTAATTATGTCTCAAGCCCACAGGTCCAACTACTCACTCCCTCTGGGTAGCTGGCTGTGGCCAAGAAGTGACTACAACCTTGCTCCTTGTCAGCTCTACTATATACCTGGAAATTCTTACAGAACATACAAATACACTTGTAGAAACATTGTCTGCCAACCCTATACATGGTCATGGGCACACTCCACCCTGTATAGATATACCTAATAGTTCAGCCCATCCACTCATCTATTCACCTACATATCAATGTTTGCTTTCACTGACAATGCAGTACTGTATGTGCAAATGGGTTCATCTTTGTTGTCTGCACCTCCGACGCAACCTCTCTATGTCTTCCTCTTCCTCAATGCCACCACATTGATCATCTATATTTGGTACATTGCCCTTCTCTTCACACAAATCAATACTTGTCTCTACCTATCTAACAGTGTTCCCCCCTCTCCCCTGGCAGTAACCAACAAAGAAAATTTCCTTCCACATATAAACCTTTCCTAGACTTTTTACAATAACAGACTAAAACAGTATTTGTCCTTCTGAGATTGACTTATTTCACTCAGCAAAATGTTCTCCAAGTTCATCCACATTATGTGGTGTTTTGCCAGTTCCATGTTATTCTTTAGGGTTGCATAGTATTCCACTGTGTGTATGTACCATAATTTGGTTATCCATTCTTCTGCTGATGGGCACCTAGGTTGTTTCCATCTTTTGGCTATTGTAAATAGTGTTGTGATGAACATGGGTGTGCACATATCTATTCTTGTACTGGCTCTCACTTCTTCAGGATATATACCTAATAATGGAATGGCTGGTTCAAATGGTATTTCTAATCCAACTTTTTAAGAAAGTGCCATACTGGCATAAATAGACTATCAAGCCTAACCCAAAATGCACAAACAGCAGAAGAAAAACTAGATGAACGGGACCTTCTAAAAATCAAATTTTTATGTGCTTCCAATGACTTCTCCAAAAGAGTCAAAAGAGAACCTACAGATTGGGAAAAAAATATTTGGCAATGACATATCTGACAAAAGACTTATCTCTAGAATTTATAGAAAACTCTTAACACCTCAATAACAAAAGGACAAATAATCCCATTAAAAATGGGCAGAAGACATGAATAGACACTTCACCAAGGAGGATATTCAGGCAGCCAACAAACATATGAAGAAATGCTCACGATCATTAGCTATTAGAGAGATGCAAATCAAAACAACAATGAGATACCATCTTGCTCCAGCACTAGTAGCAAAGTTCAACAAGACACAAAATAACAAATGCTAGCAAGGATGTGGAGAGATTGGGACTCTCATACACTGCTGGTGGGACTGTAAAATGGTACAACCACTGTGGAAAGCAGTAGGCCATTCCTTAAAAAGTTGGAATTAGAAATACCATATGACCCAGTCATTCCATGACAAGAACAGATATATGCACATCCATGTTCATCACAGCACTATTTACAATAG